ATCTCTTTTTGGATTTTGTATGTTCTTAAAAGACTTGTGGCAAATGGTCCTTATAAAAAGTAAATCAAAGTTCTATAATAAAGAACCTCAGCCATGAAATAGGAGACTATGAACAGTATGTGTGTAACTATGTGTGTGTGTATATATATATATATATATATACACATACATACTATTTGAGTGGCAGAGTAAATTAGACATAAGTAGTGCATTGATTGATGCATTGATTCCTAAATTAAATTTTAGATTAATTTGACTAGATGCATTATTAATTTTAAATATTTGATTTCAGTATTTTACATTTTATTTACTAATTATCAAATTAGTCTTTATTCAAAACCTATTAAATGTCTAGTACTAAATACTATACATAATTTCTCTCATTTAATACTCATATAATGTTTTCAAATATATACTATTACTACTCCCAGTTTACAAATAAAAATCTAAAGCACAGATAGTCTTAGTGATTTGTCCAAGGTCATAGGGCTCATAGTTGGCAGAGGTACATTTGAAACTAACTGTTCAAATGCTAATTATAATGCTATCACTTGGAAGCTTGAAAATGCATAGCTCCTCCTTTGAGAAGATTAATATAAATAAATCAGTTAGGGGGATAATTTAAGAAATGATAGATATGAGACCTAAAATCTCCTCTATATTTATATTTATGTAAGATCACATCATTCTTAGCTAATAATCTGTCATTCTTAAAATCAATAAATAAAGAGGAGGGGTTAAAAAAGAAGAAAACATGACTTTATTGAATAATTAGATCAACCTTTATGATTTGAAAAACAGTGGAGGTCTCTACCAGCCCAGTAATACTCCATGACCTGACATTATCATATATATAGCTGATATGAAATTTGTACCACTGATAACTTATTTTAATAAGAAAGAAAAAAGAAGAACTGCTTTCTACAGGAGTCCAGTATAACATTGGAGAATACACTCATGACAAGGGTCAAAATATTTACAGTAGCATATTAGTACTGGTGAGCACATTAACCAGGCTTAGTTGATCAGATTAGCTCACATTCCCCTTAGAAAAACCAGGAACACAGAGACCTAAGGAGATGGATGGTTAGAGGTGAAAAAATGTAGAATATGAATCTCTGCAAGGATAAGTGGCATACAGTGTGACACTCTTATGGAGCACAGATTAAGACATAAATCTTGCTTTCTAATAGTAGTGAAGTCTGATGTTACTGAGTCAGCCTGCTGAATAGTTTTGCTGGTGTCAGCAATCTCACAATGCAGGATGTTTTTGATTCTATTACAGTGAGTTTATTAACACTAATATCTTCTTTAGAACATAAGAATGACTCAGGACTGACCAAGGAAATAATAGGCATTTGTATTATCTAACATGAAAGAGAATCCTGGCCTATATTTTTGTGAACTCTCAGGGGCATCCCAGGAATATCTGTTCAAAAGCAGGAAAAGAACTAGTGAAGAATAAAAACAATAATTAGTTCTAGATAAGCTTCATTTCCAAAACTGAAATTCTTACAAGGTAAGTTGGGAACCCTGAAAAATCAGGAAGCTTCAAAGCTCTAGCTAGCAATTAAGGAAAGGGCTATGGAGGCCCAGAGCACAGAAATAGTGGCCAGCATCTACATAGTTTAAATTATTTTTAAAAGACAGACCCAGGAAGTATGAACTGAACTGTAGCCCCCACCCACCCACACACATACATATACACAAGGTTCATATGATGAAGTTCTAAACATCCATGTGATATATTTGGAGATAAGACCTTTACAGAAGTTATTAAGCCTAAATGAGGCCATAAGGGTATAGCCCTGATCATATAGGATTAGTGTACTTACAAGAAGAGACACCAAGGAGCTTGTTCTCTCCCTGCCATGTGAGAACACAATCAGAAGGTGGCTATCTGCAAGCCAGAAAAAGAGCTGTCACTAGAAACTGACCTAGCTGGATTTTGATTCAGAATGTGAGAAAACAAATTTCTATTTAGTCACAGAGACTGTGGTATTTTGTTATAGTCACCAAAACAGACACCAGGCAACTGTGTCTATTTGTGACTTTTGTCATATAAAAAAGTAGTTGAAAGTTTGAAAAATTGAAGTGTATATTTTCAAAGACATATTAAGAATATTTTAATATAGGGCCGGGGATTTAGCTCAGTGGTTTCACCGCCTGCTGCACAAGCTCAAAGACCTGAGTTCGATCCCCTGTACCAAAAAAAAAAAAAAAAGAATATTTTAATATAAAACTTGAGCTAGATAATAACAGACCTATGAAACAGACTTAAGTTTAGAAATTCCAATTAAAGATTTCTTAAGCTGTAGAATTGTTATTTCAACTACCTTTAAAAACATAAAATACCATTCTTTGGAGTTCAGAATTAACTGTCTTAAACGGTTGATATGAGTCCATAAATGAAATACCTCACCTCATGTACAAATTTCCACATAAATCTCACAGAGACACCATACTTTTGCCACACATGCAAGAGCAGTTCTATAAGAACATTTCCTATTTTTATTTTTATACATAATTGATGCATATTACTTATTACATTTGTTTTTGTAAGTAATCTAGAGATACAGAACTGATGATAAATTCTCAATCAACTCATATGACTAGCAGGAACTAACTGCAGACAAAGCCATTTTTGAATTTTATATTGACTTCTCAGGGTCACTATCAGTCATTTGGAATTAAATGAAATAAAAAGACTTCTCCATTATATTCAGTACAAACTAAGGAGGTTTAATCTAAAAAAGAAATATATCATTCAAAGAAGTACCATCTCTAGGCATTTAGGGACATATGACTTATTATTTTGCATAGTCTCATACTGGTTTGAATGTATACAAAAATATTTAAGTTGTCTTATTGATCAATGCATTCATTCATTCATTAAGCACTTTATTGAAGAGCCAATAGTGTAGAAGAAAAATGAGGATTTTGGAGATTTGAAGAGTCAGAGATTTTTAAACCCGGCTCTATCCGTTCCATATGTCTGTGAGTTACAGCAAGTCATTTTATCTTTAAGAGCTTGACAGCACTGAAAAACAAGGAAAATAGTTTTGTGAGATTTTAAAATATGAGGATAAAGTACCTACCACATAGCTGCTCTCAGAAACTATTGATGCTATCATTTATGAAGTATAGTTAATGTATGATACAATTATAAGAAGACAGCAAGTTAAAATCTGTCCTCAGAGAACTCATCATCGTGGAGAAAATCTTATAAAAGTAAGCACCAAAATTATTGTACAGCCTAGGAGAGAAGGCAGACTAGGGCACAGTGGAGAGCTGATCCCACTATTTGAAAATCTACCAATAAAGTACAACAGATACTTTCGACAACAAAGCACTTTTTAAGGAGCACTGAGAGTCTACAAGTCAATTCTAAACTAGATATTCTAATCAGGCTACATTAGTATATTTGATACATTAACAATTGTCATCACAGCATGATGTGAACAAAGATGATGACAATGAAATGGTCACTAGTGCATGTGATACAAGAACAAGCAGGTTCATTTATATTCACCTCATTTTATTTCTTCATAATTACTGTACCATGTTTGGAAGTATTTTAAGGAGAAAGTTTGAGAATGTTATCACATATAAGCCATTATTTTAATTAACGAGGGCATGTTTGCAGTACATACATAATTACATTCATTGTGGGGAGTTACTACATGTACATAACTTAATTCTTTTTATTTCCTCTTCATTTCCCCTCCTTCACTCCCTCCATCTCTAATTCCCTTTCCATTTTCCAAAGATCTATTTTCTTGTTTTCTATTGTCTGTCTTTTGTTTTACACTTTAAATTATCTATACTTTGGGTTTCTCACATAAAAGAAAAGGTGTACTACTTAACCTTATGCGTCTGATTTATTTCACTTAACATTATAGTCTCAAGACACATCCATTTTCCTAGTAGACTCAAATTTATCCTTCTTTATGACAGAGCAGTACTCCATTGTGCCTTTTCTTGTTCAGGTGGGAAAAATCAATTGGTAAAGACTTTGACCTCCAGTGACTCTGGATAGAGATTATGCTAACAGAAACAGCAAACTTACAAGACTACTGCAAGAACTGAAACCAGAAGTCAGCACAAAAAGGAACTAAGACAAAGACTTTTGGTTTATCTTGTGCCTTTGGAAAACACTAAACAGATCAAGTCCAGGGCTGAATTGCAAATTGATAAAAACTAAGAAAGAATTCATTGAACAAGCTGGATGATATTGGTGCTTAAAACTGACTTTGAAAGGAGACAAGGGGTAAAAATGTGAAGGACAATAGTATATCCACCATTAATACTACCTGATAAAAATTTCAGAAAAAATCATACTTACATGGATTCCTTAGGGAATAGATTAGTAATGTATAAAAACTGAGTTTTCCAGATAAATGGAAGATAAGGAAGCATGTAGGTTACATTCAGTAAGTTCTATATGAAGGCATCAAGGTATTTCCCATGAATGAAAATGACCATGTGCTCTTAGATTTTAGCTTCTCAAAAATACTGGAGGCTTAGTTATTGGTTGTTTTGATTTGCTTGGTGGAAAACTTGCTGTTTGATATAGAGAGCTGCTATTATACATTAAGTATTATTAACACTTTATTATAATATGAAATGTTTGGATATTATTTTATGAAATTTGATAACAAATTAATTTTTAGAAAGAAATTTGTAATCAGCAATGTTCACTAGGTGTATAGACCTAAAATGAAGGCAGAAGTATAAACAAGACAAAACATAAATTATTCCAACATCTTTAATAACACAAGTGTTAAAGTCCTTTTACAATGTAAACAGAGACATGCTAAACACTTTATCACTTAGTGACAACCTTTAACCTACCATGGAACCTGACCATCAGAGACTATAAATACACATACATATATACATACACACACATACATACACATATATCTTTTATATGTATGTAAGTGTGCATGTATATTTCAGAATTCAACTCCATCATTACTCATTTGTTCATCCTATAGACTGTGTCAAATCCGGTCCCTAAAATGGAAGAAGCCAAAAGCCACAGTTTGGAGGAAGATTTTGAAGGACAGGCCACACATACAGGTAAGTAAAGCTACAAGAAAAAATAGTTATAAAATTAAGATTAAATCTAGATATACCTAATGCTCTAACTGATAATGTTTATTATCGAATTTAAGCCATATCTTCATAGGTAAGACAGAAAAATCTAAAAAGTATTTGAGTGTGATCTAGAATATATAAAGAACTTAAAAAATGAGACCCCCCAAATTTAAAGACTCAATTCAAAAATGGGCATCTGAAATGAACAGACACTTCTCAGACAAAGAAGTAAAAGCAGCAAATAAACATATGAAAAAATGTTCAACATCACTGGTCATTTGAGAGATGCAGATGAAAACAACACTGAGATTTCACCTCACCCCAGAAAGAATGGCTGCTATCAAGAAATCAACCAATAACAAATCCTGGTGGGGGTGTTGGGAGAAAGGAACCCTGCTCCACTGCTGGTGGGAGTACAGACTGATGCAATCACTGCGGAAATCAGTATGGAGATACCTCAGAGAACTAGGACTAGAGGTTCCATTTGACCCAGCTATTCCCCTGCTGGGTATCTTCCCCAAAGAATTAAAAGAATCATACCATAGCCATATATGTTCACCCATGTTCATAGTAGCCCAGTATGTAATAGCTAAAACTTGGAAACAGTCTAATTGCCCATCAACTGGGGACTGGATAAAGAAGATGTGTGTGTGTGTGTGTGTGTGTGTGTTTTTAAATAAAATGGAATACTACTCAGCCATAAAGAATGAGAAACTAGAGACATTTATAGCTAACTGGGTGCACATTGAGGCCACACTCTTAAGTTAAATGAATAAGAGACACATGTAAATACTGAATAGTTTCTCTGGTGTGAGAACTAAAAGTGTAAATCAGGATCAAAATGTATAATAGACAACGTGAAATAGGAAGAAAAGGTCTAAAGGGTAAGGGAAACTGGGAGGGGTAGTGAAAAGGCAAGAAGGGAAAGGAAAAAATATGAGAAAAGGAAAAAATGGAAGCAAAGTCTTTATAAATAGGGAGGGATGGAGGGGTTGAAGGGAGGGCAGGGGAATGGGAAAAAAATAAGAACCAAGATATATCATGTAAAGGTACAAATAAATTCTCAATGATGAATGTCATCATATTGTATATCTAAAATGTACCAATAAACTAAATGAAAAAAATATTTGAGTGTGCAAATTAAAATTGAAATAATTCATAAAAGTTTTATCTTAGTATCAGAGTGTGAGAACAAACAATAATTATTGATAATTTCTTGCTACTCGACTATCACAAGATTGATCCATCTGTCTGTGATATAACTTACTCCTTCCCCAACAAATGAACCAATAAAACTAGTAGACCAAAAGTAAATAAGTAGTCTTTTATTTTTTAATCTGAAAAACAAAAAGAATGATAAAATATTATTGGATCAAATGGATTTCAATTTTACTCCAGAAAACCTAAAACTTCATTTCATCTACAGCCTATTCTCTTAATCTGTTAAATTGTAGGTGGCTGTCTATATTCCACTGAGAGTTTAAAAGTTAAATAGCATAATTTAAATTTTAAAACCCAGATTTCTTTTAATGCTGTTGAATCTTATTTGACTAATAATTCCTTGTATCTTTTAATATGGATTGAAGCCTTTAAATTTAGCCCAGAAGTTTAAATTAATTTCACACTAGTACTAAACAAAATACATGGGAATTCATTATACAATGGCTATGTGAGGACTATCTTTCTACGTATGACTTGAAATTTTTTTAAAAAAGAAAAACAGATAAAATCAGTGAAAGGAATGAAAGAGAAAGAGGGAAAGAAAATAAAGAAGAAGGAGGATGAGAAACAAAAGAAACATCCACTGTGTGGTAAAAGTTACCAAGAGCAAATTTTTTAAAAACAACCAAAAAATTTAACAAATTACAAAAAAAATTAGCAAATCAACAGGCAAGAGTGTTTATGTCTTAATATATTAAATGCTCCTACTTATTAATAAAAAATCAATATTCAAACAACATAAAGGGCTGAGATTAAATGAGCTATTCACCTCAGGGGTGAGGTATAAAAAAAGTCATAAAGTTAGAACTTTGGTAAAATGTTTTTTTCTCACACATTTCAAAAGGGTAAAATTGTTCAATAATATGTTTTTGGAACGACTCACCTTCATACACTGCTGATAGGAATGTAAATTTGTACAAACTCTGTAAGCCCAGTCTAACAGTGTCAAAATTAGAACTGTACACACCCTTTGACCGAACAATTTTTTATATAGCTATCACACATACTACACAGACAGAAAAATATATATGTGCAAAGTTCTTCACTCAGCATCATATGTCACATAAAAATTATGGAAACAATAGTGCACAGCTGTAAGAAACTATTAAAGTTAATTATGTATATCTCTTCAATAGAATACTAGGCCTCCATTTTTTTAAAACAAGAAGCGCCTTTTTATGAATATGAAAAAAATTTCCAAGATGTATTATGAAGAGCAAATAATATAAAGTGTGTATATTAGCCCACCATTTGAAGAAAACAGGAGGAAAAAAATATTTTCTTTCTTATTCACATACTTACTTTGCATATGCATAAAATATCTGGAAGATGAAGACTGCACAAGAAAATAAAAAACACTGACCAAATATAATTAACATAAAGGTGTAACAAATTTATCTTAAATGTATATTTCATATGTGATATAAATAAATTATCAGACAATATGAGGAAGAAAATGAATGTATTCATTGTATTAGTTGAGTTTTCCATCACTGACACAAAATACCCTACCACAATTTAAAGAAGGAAGGTTTAATTTAGCTCATGGTTTCTGGATATTCAGTATATGACTGGCTGGCTCCAAGGCAGAAACCTGGTGACAGAAGGACATGGCAGACCAAAGCTGCTTAGTTCCTTGCTGGAAGGAAGCATACGAGGGGAACAGTGCCAGATCAGAAGAGGTGAGGGTCTACAACTAGACCTCAAGGCCACACTTAGAAATATGCTCCACCAATCCTCCAAGCAGATCTCAAAGTCAATCAAGTTGAAACTCCACCTTAACTGCCACATTATAGAATGTAATATTTAAGGCATGGAAGATTAAGTTTTGGAAGAGTTTAATATTGCATGTTTTCAAGAATTTAAGGTTTTGTTCTAAGCACTTTTATTTTTCAGAGCAACTATTAGAATTCCAGTTGGACCATCCTTGATTTAACTACTGTAATTTTTCTTAAATATGTAAATTTTATCCTTTCTGTATTTATGAAAGATTCTTAGAATCTTAGAAGGAATTGGACAGAGATGGAATAATTTTCTTAAAGTTATTTTAGTTTTGTTAATTGAAGTCAGGCCTCCTTTTCTTTGGCTGTCTTTTAAGTACTGCTGTTATGATTGCTTCCCCAACAATCCCAGTTTCCTTTATTAATAGTATAGTGCCAATGTTAGTTTATTGATAAGTTTCTTTCTTATGTAATGAGTGCTATTTTTACTAATTCTAGTTTCTTCTATATATTCTAATTTTAATATCTTTACCCCAAACTTTTCTAATAGTTCAAAGTGCATAATTTATATCTTCATTAATGCAAATGTTTCAAAGATTCTTTGCCAAAACTCATTTAACAAGATTAATCTGGGAGAAAAATTTTACAGGAACAGTAGGGAATTTCTAGTCCCAACAAGATGTTTGCTTCTTATTTAGGAGATGACAAGTCTACTCTCATGGCAATACTTAGACAAATTTCAATTGTTCAAAAAGCTCTTTTGGAAATAAAAAGAGAAATAATTTTTAAAATTTTATTCCAGGACCCAAAGGAGTAATAAATGATTGGAGAAAGTTTAAATTAGAGAGCGAATATAGTGAATCAATCCCACCTAGCAAGAAGGAAATTCTCAGACAAATGTCTTCTCAGAGTAAAGATGACAAGGACTCAAAAGAAAGAGTCAGCAGAAAGGTAAGACAAGCAAAAAGTTAATAATGGATAGTTTACAATATGTTTTCTAGTCTAAGTCACACTAAAGATGTAAACTACATTAGAATATTAGCAAATAACCTGTGGTAGTGCATACATGTAATCCCAGCAATCCGAGAGGCTGAGGCAGAATAATCACAAGTTTGAGCCCATTTTGGGCAAGTTAGCTATTTACCAAGACACTGTCTCAAAATGAAAAATATAAGAGTTGGGAATGTACTCAGTATAAAGACCCTAGGTTTGATTCCAAGTTCCATACAAAAATAAAGAAAAATATTACAAAATATATTTATTGCAGTATAGTTTATACTGGCAAAGAAGAATGGAAATGAAATGAATGCTTATCAAGGTATTCCATACTAAGTAAGACATGCATGTTGAAGGAACAAATTACAAATACATGAATTGACTTAATAATATTTTCACAATGTGTAAAACAAAATCCAGAGAATTTTAAATTAGATAAATGATTCTGTGCTCTACATTTCTGTATATTTGTATGCCTACACAAATGAGTTTGCATATAGAAAAGTGCAAAGACATTTACAAGTTGACAATATTAGGAATTTGAAAGGATGAGATTGGTTAGGCAAAGACAAAGAAGGTAAACAGAATAAATCCCTACTTTAAAAAAGATATTTATATTTCTCTTGAAAAGTATTATTTTTAAAAAAGATCTCACTTATTTAAGCGGTATAATGCCTACTTCATCTCTAAATAGTTAAAGAAAAAATTAGCTAAGTATTAAATTGATAAAATTTCAGTATTTAATATTTCCTTTCTTTAGCTTTAGGTCATTTTTTAATTATAATTAGCATTTATTATTTATATAACAATTATAATAATAAGGGAAACCATAACGTAATTCTCATTTGTGGAGAAAAAAATTACTTTAGTGGATTATTTATCTACAAGTCAGTGTATATTCATCATACACTGAGTCTCAGCAGACAGATAAAATCAGAAATACACCACAGTCAGGGCTTCTGGTCATTGTGGTGGGACAGAGGTTGATTCTTTTACTTAGTCACTATACGTTGTGGATTTCACAATTAAATTTTCCATTTGAGAAATTGTAAGAACTCCTCTTTCACTTGTTTTGGACAAATGTGAAGAAAAAAATAAACATGAAAGTGTTTTGAACCATAAAATACTATGCACATGTGAGACATCATTATTAAAGATTTTGTGCTAAAGCTAAGCTTTGGAAATGTATCTGAATACCTAAGTATCTAAATAGCCACCTGAATATGTAAAGGGAATAAGTTCTCATATGAATGCTCAAATGTATCTTCAAATCACTATTTATTTGTGTGTTCCTACCTTATTAAATTAACAAGACTATGGGAGCAATTTAAGGATTATACAAAACATAACTTTTAGGGCTAAAACAAATTAAATTGGGACAATAATGTAAGACAGAAAAATATAGGCTAAGAAAAAGAATGAGGAAAACACGATGCAGAAACAAGGAAAATAATAAAAGCATGTAGTATTTGTATTTAACCAGAATCTCAGTACCATTTTATAGAAATGACACTAATGATCTATCTCAGAGGTTTATTGTGAAGATTAAACAATATAATCTATGTAAGATGCCTAAGACATGATAGATTTTCCATAAATATTAGTTTCTTGTTTATTATTTCTCTATTTTAAGAATTGCTGCTGTTTGAGTGGTTTCATAATAATAAGACAGCAGCAGATGTATCTCATTGGGACTTCCACAGCTGGGTGCTCCATATCTAATAGTGTCTCTTATGGCAAATGTTCTAATATTCCTTTGTTGTGTGTTTTGTTTCATTTTGTCTTGTTTTGTTTTTGGTTGGGGGAAGTGCTTAACATTCTACTGAATACACTAATAATGGAGTAGATATTATAAAGGGTGGATAATTTTATATTCTAGAGACAATTAAAAGTAGCAGTCTTGCAAGATGGAATTTAGGTCTTTTCTCGTGTTAGCTTAAACCAATGTATTAGAATAACCTAGAGGGCTTTTGAAAACCTGGATTACTCAGCCTAATTGTTACAGGCTCTGATTCAGCAGATCTGGTGGTGCCTGAAAATCTGTATTTCCAACAAGTTCTCAGGTGGTGATGCTGCTGCTCCAGCCATTAGTTCTCTGGGTTAATTTGATGAACTCTAAATAGTAGTGAATGTTTATTGTTTGAATTCCATCCTACATATTTTTTTAAAAGTAAATTATAAGATTTTTAATAGCTTTTGTGGAGGGAATACTAATGTACTAATGTCGAGGCATTTGTCAGGGACACATGGAAGGGTGAGTGTGTGTGTGTGTGTGTGTGTGTGTGTGTGTGTGTATGCATGCCTGAAATGCCCAGTATTTTTTTTTTTTATGAAAGCCACTCTAGAACAGAACCTTGTTTTTTCATGCAAAAGTGGTGGGTTGTTAAGTAGCATATTTCTGACCGAGACTGTGAGCCCCTTGGCTCAACTACATTCAGCAATAGTTCTATATGCATTTAACCATGAAACCGTTATTGAACGCCTATTATGTACCATATATAAAGCAGATGTTGAAGATAAGTGAATGGGACAAAATTCTTGCTCTCACTGAACATGTTAGAAAAACTGATATTAAACAATCAAATACATAATACAACACAAGTCATATTTATTGCTACAGAAAAAAAAACAGTACATACAATGGAGACTATTGCAGGGGGGCTCTTTTAAATAATCAAGGGAGGTGACATTTGAACAAACACTTGAATGGAGTAAAAAAGAAAGTTACATCAGGAGTGGGGAGGTGGTGGTCAGGGCAGACAGAAAAACAAGCACAAACTCTCCTTGAGCTGAGAATGGGTTTGGTGTATCTAATAAACATACATTTCTGACTGAATGATCACTACAAATTCTTTCATATATTCTCAGATGAGCATACAAGAATATGAACTTATCAATCAAGACAAAGAAGATGAAAATTGCCTTCGTAAATATCGGAGACAGTGCATGCAAGATATGCATCAGAAGCTGAGTTTTGGGCCTAGATATGGGTTTGTGTATGAGCTAGAAACTGGGGAGCAATTCCTAGAAACAATTGAAAAGGAGCAGAAGATCACTACAATTGTTGTTCACATTTATGAAGATGGCATTAAGGGCTGTGATGCTCTAAACAGTAGTTTAACATGCCTTGCAGCAGAATACCCTATGGTCAAATTTTGTAAAATAAAAGCTTCCAAAACAGGTGCTGGAGACCGCTTTTCCTCGGAGGTGCTCCCCACACTGCTTGTCTACAAAGGCGGGGAACTCATAAGCAATTTTATTAATGTTGCTCAACAGTTCACTGAAGAATTTTTTGCTGGGGATGTGGAGTCTTTCCTAAATGAATATGGATTACTACCAGAAAGAGAAATGCATGCCCTTGAGGATACCAACATGGAAGAAGACGTTGAATAAAGAGTCACTAGATTAATATCTCATGTTTATCCTTTACACATTGAACATTGATTTTGATAATATCCATATTCCTGTAGAGAATATTAAATATGGACGTAGCTATTGTTAATTTGGGGAAAAAAAGATTGACACTAAAGTTGTGTTATTAGCATTTTTAGTATTAGTTATTCAAATTCATAGAATATTTTACTACAAAAACACCATAATCTTCAGCAATATTATTAGTAAACAAAGAAGATGAGGATAATACCTGTATGCTGCTTTTCAAAGTTATATGTTACCTTTTTATTTCTTGTTTTTTCCCCAGTTTTAATTTGTCCTTTCCAAACTACATTATTAACTATAATTTTACTTCTGTAATAATAAAATATGATGAGGAAATAAGTTTTCTATATGAAGCCTACTGTTGCTTAAATATTACATTATCAATCTCCTAAAAACTTTACAAGGCTCACAATACAAAAAGTTTTCATTCAATAAAATCTCTTGTATTCCAATCACATCAATAAAAAGAAATTTAGACACATTGTGCTAGATTTAAATTATTAAAAATGTTGCGTGTATTAAAAAGGTAGGATGGAATCAAGGTCTTGTTATCTAGATAGAAGAATAATATTTATTAATAGTAATAATTTCAGTTGTCATTTATGGATTGCCAATTATGAGCCAGTATTTTATAAAGAGCATATCTGATTAATAACCATAAATCTGAATGTAGATAATATTATTCCTGTTTTTAAAATAATGAAACTAATTCAGAAAAATGAAGTACAAGTCCCATTTTTATTTCCTTTGAAAACATATGGAAATCTGTCCTTCTAAACACATGGAAGTACAAAATAAAATATAATTTTAAAATGTTTTTAAATGCACAAATTATCTAAAGAGAAAAAAAAAAAAGAAATTTCTAGGTGTCTAAATCAGAGTGGAAATATACCAGTGAGTGACAGCTGAAGCAATATGGTCGACAATTGAAGACATGGTGCTTGACAAATACCCAGGAAGGGGACACCTGTGAGATCTGTATTTAAAGCAAGTTGGCACATTTCTCCCTAGCAGCCTAATGGTGAAACCAGACATGTCACAAGTTTTAGTCTCCACTCTTTGAAATGACTATTTATAGCTTTTCTTCCTTCTTAGTCAGTTTATACCCCTTTCTCCCACTCTGAACATTTCATCTTGCTCATACTTCATTGAAAAAATAGAAGTGACCAGGTGAGACCTACTTATCTTTATCACCAGAATTAAAATGTGCAGGTAACTAGTGCTTCTGCTGAGTCGTGATGGAGGTGTCTATGCAGCGATCTGCGGTCGTCTGATGAAGCTGTGTTGTAGATCCTGTCCTTTCACCTAGTCAGTCATTGTTTGCAGTTGTTCTCTTGCTCTCTGCCCCATCTATTTCTCTCTTTATGTTCTATTATTCATAGTCTTATGAGTTTTTAAATTGCCCACCATTTAAAATATGCTCACTTATAATGTAAAATTCCCAGCTACCACTCACTTCTGCGATTTTCTTTATAATAATGCATGTCAAAAGAGGAATCTAAAGTCACCATATTTACCTTTCGTTTCCTACTATTTTTCATTGCACTCCAATCAGGGTTTTGTTTCTATTTTGTTCCTAGCACTTTAATTACAATTGTGGTCTTGTCAAACTTCATGGTTAATTTTTTTTTTTTTTAAGACAGGGTCTCGTTGTGTATTTCAGGCTGGCCTTGAATTCATGGCAATCTTCCTGCCTCAGCTTCCCAAGTGCAAGGATTAAGGAATACGTCACCACACCTAGCTCTTAATGGCTAATTCTTCTTTCTTATTTTGTTGTCTTCTATAAGCCTCCCTTCTGAGTCTCTTCTTGTTTTGACCACTCACTGCCTGTTTGGTTACTATGCTCATGACTATTCCTTCAAAGTCCTTCTCTGACTTCTTCAAACACTCACTCTAGGAAACCTCCTCCAGTTCTTAGTCTTAACCAACGCTTAAATTCAGTCCATTCTCAAATTTAGCTTCGCGTCCTTCCTGGGCTCCAAAATCCTATATTTCAACTCAGGGAATGGAGGAAATAACTAAAGGAAGAAGAATGGGAAAGAAAAAAAGGTCTTGCTGTTTTTACTATGTATTAATGATATGGAAATGGGTAAGATAGACTTTTTTACTCTAACTAAATCACAATGACCAGTCTCTTACATATTATTGCTGTTTTTGTATACGTATCTAAAATTCCAAATATTTTTTCCTGTTTATAAATTTGGAACTGTGTTTTAAATATCCTGTGGCCTATTTCTAAGTTGGTGAGCAACAATCATATCACATGGAGAAAAAGTGCTAGGAGGGAGGTATGCAGGATAATTATGTAAGGAGCTTTTAAAAATAGTTCAACATGTTTTCTGCTATCAAGCAAAGGCTAGAAAATGTATTAATCCTAGTTCTCTACCAAGGAATTACTGGGCTTAAAACCTACAGCAAAACATAGAATCCTTGCACAAGATATTTATAATTCAAAAAAGTCCTTAGTATAATAGCTCTTAAGATTGACACTAATTCCATGGACTAGAAGTACTTCAAGGACAGTGGCAAGCTAGCGAGCAAGGATGGCCAAATAACAGAACAATATTAACAAAACAAAATATAAACTATTTTCAATTATTAGTCAGTGTTAACTGCAATGTAATGCAGTGAAGACAGAAAAGAAAGGCTAAACAGTGAAAGAATACTCTCATCTATGCAAAAAAATAAAAAAGGATAATAATCAATGATTTGAAAGATTCCTGTTTAAAGAAAGTTTTACTCTTATAAGAAATGACCCACAATACTTTAATGTAGAATAGAGAGCAAGCAAGCTTAAGCAAGACTAAATCGGGAATGTATTTAACCCATAATTGCCAAAACAAAAGTAACTAGGTGGCACCTGTATAGACAGTGAGTGATGATAGCAACCATTCTCAAAATAAGCACTTGGTGACTAAGGGCTGTGAGGGTGAAGCTTTGATGGAAACACTCATCAGGAAGAGTTGCACGAAAGGCAGGACTTGACTAGAATATTTGCATTTGCTGCTGCAGACATCTTGGATTACAAACTCTCCTCATGTAAACACTTAATCTGCTATTTTATTAGGTAGGAGAAGAGATCATTTTTGTCTCAGCAAAAGAATGAAGTTTAAATGTAAATCTTTAAAATGTCATAGCATGTCTCACAATAAACTATTCAAATAATAACTTGAAAGAAAAACCAAAAGCATTAGTTGAAAGGCAATAGGAAAATTGGTAAGGAAATAACAAAATTACCTTGTATGTTGAGAAGCTCATTCACTCATTTGTTCTCAAAATTTTTATTGATAACCTGCAATCTATCATGTAGTGTCCTTGACATCAGAAAGTTCAAGGGAAACAAAACAAATATCTTTGTAAGCAATAAAAAATAAAGTCACCTGAATGTTTTTCTATGCTTGTATTGTGGTAATGATGAGTTATCTTGAGCACCAGTGCCAGGCTTTCTAGACTTGAAAACACTCACTCATTTTGTGACCTTGGGAAAATTAACTTCCCTATACCTGTTTTGTTATTGTTGTTTGTTTGTTTGTTTGTGAAACAAGGATAACATCCTCACTGGGTTATTGTGAAGAAAAATTAGTAAATCATGTAATCTTTTAAGAATAGTGCCTGACAAGTACTATTCCAATGTTAGTATTTATTTATTTACTTATTTACTGTACTGGGTTGAACCTAGGGCCTTCACACTGGGCTACATCCCCAGAAGGATTTTTAAAAATTGTATATAAAACAGGATCTCACTAGCTTGCCCACTCTGAGCTCAAGCTTGTGATCCTTCTGCCTTGGCCTTCCAAAATGCTAGGATTACAAGCATATGCCACAATGACTGACTAGTACTTATTATCAATAGGCATACATGAAGTAAAATGGTGCATGCAGTACATAAATATAAGACATTAAAGAAATATTTATGTATGCAGAAGCTAATTTATGAAGAAGCCAGGATTCAGTTCATCTATACCAGTAATGGTGAACCTTTTAGAACTTTCAGTGATAACAAACAGCCTTGTTGCAGCACACATGCCATGGGTTTACTACCACTGATATATATCTCTTATGTTACGCTAATTAAGAAACATATTAAACATTTTATAGACAATATATTAATTGAAAGAGAAATGTCTTTCCAAACTACCAGGTTGAAAAAAAAAGAGAGAAAGAAAGAAGATATCCAACCCATTCACCTACCCACTGAATACATTGAACTCTACAGTCCATCTTATATGATTTTGGGCTCCATGAATGCCAATGGCCACTTTCAAATTGAAAATCTTTCCTTAATTAGTTTTCATGGTATCACTCTTCGGATTCTTCTTTGTTTCTGGGACTTACTTCTCTCAGCTTTATCTTCTGCCCTTTTTTGGCATGGTCCTAGTGTAATAGTATTTTCTCAGATTAGTCATCCCCAATTCCCTTTTTGGATTCTGTTATTCACTCTTCTGTTATTCAGGCTTCTGAAACTATTATTGACATCCCTGGCCAGATAACTTTTCAGTCGGGATTAATTCTGTGTATTGTAGGTTGTCTAGCATTATCCCTTGGCTTCTGCCCACGGGATGCCAGCAACATCCCTTCCCCAGTTGTGACAACTGAAACTATCCTTAGACATTGCCAAGTATCATCTGGAAAGCAAGAATCACCCCCAGTCAAGAATCACTTACCTCTCTCTATAAAATGTCTATCTTCTGTCTCCTGTCCTATTACAAGTTGATAGAAATTGAATTACCATCATCTGTCACTTGAACCATTTCCACAGTTTCCTAACTGGGCAACACAATTCCATATTCCACTGACACTACACGGATCCATAAAGTACTGTGACTAGGGAATCCCAAGACTGTTAGCCCTGCAGCTAACAGTGGTAATCTGTGAGACAAATGAAAAGAAGTAAAACTGTAAGAACTTATATTTACATTGTGAAATATTTGGGCAGATAGACACCCTTTTTACTTGTGGGAAGTAAAGTAACTGTATGGAAATATACTTCTGAGAAATGTACTTCTGAAATATACATTCTTTTCTTTCAAAAGAATGTAAACTCGGGCCGGGG